TACCTCCCAGGGCTGTTGTGAGGATCAAATGTGACAGCATATGGAAAGTATTTGGAAAACCTTAAACTGCGATACACTAGCTGTTGTCGTTGATGTTGTTATATCAAATACAAATTCATCTACTTATCTCACACTCTTCACCTCCACACATTCCATTTCTGCCAACCTCTCCTACCAGGGATTCCACAAGCTCGTCTCACCAACTTCTGCCTCCATGCGTCGCTGTAGTTCACCCCTCCTGTCACCATCTTCACTTCTCAGATTCTTCCCTTCCTTCAAAGCAAGATGGTGTAAAGGAAATAGAATTGAACTCAAAGCCACAAAAAATCAGACTTAGTCCTTGCCTCTGATACTTGCTAGTTAGATGACCCTAGATGAGTTGTCTCAATTTCATCATTTGTAAAGTATGGATAGTAATAACGGTTAATATCCATATAGGCCTTTCAAATTTCCCAAGGGCTTTTTTACAAATAAAATGTTATCTCATTTGATTCTCACAACAACTCTCTAAGGTAGGTGCTATTATCATCCCCACTTTACAGAAGAGGAACTGAAGTGAACAGAGTGTAAGTGAGTTCGCCAGGGGCACACAGCTAGTCAATATCTGAGGTCAGAGTTGAACTCAGATCTTCTTGACTCCAGGCCCAGAGCTCTACCCATTGCACCACCGAATTGAGATAATAATATTTCACTCTCCACTTCATGAGGATGTTATAAAGAGTGATATAACTTAAAGCTCTCTTCAAGTCCCACCAGCTCCATGAAGTCTTCCCTGACCCCTCCCAGCTAAAAGCAATATCATCCTACTCAAATTTTCCAAAGAAACTTTGAGCAGTCTGCTTTGCTTCCATCCCATTCATGATTTCATCCTAGCTTTTATGCCCGCAGTCTCTTTCAATTGTAAGCTCCTTGAGGGGAAGAATCATGTCATTCTTCATCTTTAAAAAACTGGGGCAGCTAGGTGGCACAGTGGATAGAGCACTGGCCCTGGAATCAAGAGGACCTGAGTTCAAATCTGGCCTCAGACACTTACTAGCTATATGACCCTGGGCAAGTCACTTAACTCTGATTGCCTTAAAAAAAAATTCCTCTGTCCCAACCACCATGCCTTACATGGAGTAGGTCCTGAATAAAACGTTTATTGAAATAAATTGAATGATGTCAACTGAATTAGTTATGTCTCCAGACATCAACAATCATAACATCCTGTTACATATATCTTGGTCCTTTCTAAGTTTCTTGGCTTCCAATCTATTGTGATCTCATATGAGCTTCTCAATAACTTGGGGGGAGACAGAGGGAGGAAGAGTGGAGATTATTATCCTTACGTTATAGATGAGGACACTGAGGATCACAGAGGGGAAATAATTTGTTTAGTGTTACAGAGTACGTCCTCAGAGTAAAAGGCAGCTGTCACTTCACATCTGTTTGCTTCAGTTCCTGTAAAATGGCGTCTACCTCCCAGGGTTGTTGTGAGGATCAAATGAGATAACATTGGTGAAGTGTTTAGCTCATAGTAGGCACTTCATAAATTCATGTATCCTTATGCCCTTCCCCTTCCCTTCTCTCCTGACAGAACTAGGCCTCAAACCAAGATCTGTTCATCCTGATTGTCCCTCCCTCTGCTAGCATAATGCTTACCAAGATTCGTAAAAATTAACCAGGCAGTGGTGTGTAGGCTGAATGATAAAGAGACTGATACCATAGGCCGGGAGATGATGTTACAATAAAGGAACCAGAGAATCTTAGAGCATTAAAATCATTGTTGTTCAGTTGTTTCAGTCATATCCAGCTTGTTGTGACCCCATTTGGGATTTTCTTGGCAAAGATACTAGAATGGTTTGCCGTTTCCTTCTCCAGCTCATTTTACAGTTGAGGAAATAGAGACAAACAAGGTGAAGTGACTTACCCAGGGTCACACAGCTAGTTAGTGACTGAGACTGGCTTTAAACTCAGGAAGATGAGTCTCCGACAGATGAAGAACTGAGTTAAACAGGGTTAAGTGACTTGCCCAGGGCCATGCAGCAAGTAAGTGTCTGAGGCCAGGTTTGAACTCGGGAAGATGAGTTTTCCTGACTCCAGGCCCCTCCACTCTATCCACTGCACCACCTAGCTTCCCTAGCACCATAGGGACATAGAACCTTAGAATCAGATTCAGGAGACAATGGAAAAAAAAACTGGGAAGGGTTTGAGAGCACATCAGGTTCAACTGTCATTTTCTAGAGATCACGAGAGGGGGAAGGGTTTATCCAAGGGGGGACTGCAAAAAGTCCCTGCTGACCACAAGCTCATGGCTCTGCTTCTGTTGGATCAATGATGGGGATCTCAGAGGCGCAACAGAACTCAGGAGCCAATATGCCCAAGCCATGCCCGAACGGGAACCCCCCTGGACAACCTACCCCAAAAGGAGCTGTCCAAGGTCTTCTTGAAAACCTTCAGAGAGAGACAACCCACTACCCTCAGATGCAAGTTATGCAGGGAAGATGTTGGTAAATGTCTAACAATCAGATCTCTGAGGTGGGGGGAGGGGAGAAATGTACCCACAACACACTTTTAAGTTTAATTTATACTACCGACATTTTCTCCATCACTCTCTGAAGTCTAGACCATTGACAAAACACCAAATCAAGCCCTGATGTGTTGATTTCCTAGGTTTAACTGCTCATGCTGAAAAATAGAACAACTGACTCTTGGGTTTGAACTGGATCCAGTATACACTTGAGCCCCTGCCACTTGTGAATGGCTCTAATTGTGAAAAGGTTTGTCCTTACATTAAGCGTCTCTTGGCTCTGCCCCTGTGACTCAGCAGCCTTCTCACTGTGGAACTTCCTTCAAAGTCTGGAGCCTTCCCATTTGGCAACATCACTCCATCATGCCGACTCCCCTTCTCCCTCTGGTGAATTTTTTCTGGGGGGACCTCTATCTTGGTTCATTCCCTTCCCAGCTATGCTTCTGGCTCTCCCTCCCTCTTTCTCTCTCTCCCTCTCTCTCTTTCACACATACACACTCACACACAGACACACACCTCTTCAGCTCTCTTTTATGTGTTATCATTCGAACATTACAATGTAAGCTTCTCTCGGCAATCCTCAGCTTCCTAGGTGGCACATACAGGCCTGGAGTCAGGAAGACTCCTCTTCCTGAATTCAAATCAGGCCTCAGACATTTACTAGCTGCATGATCATGTGCAAGTCACTTAACCCCATTTGCCTCAGTTTCCTCATACGTAAAATGATTTGGAGAAGGAAATGGCAAACCACTCCAGGATCTTTGCCAAGAAAACCCCAAATGAGGTCACAAAGAATTGGACACCATTGAACAACGACAACAAAATAAGGATAATGATGTCTGTTTCACCTCTCACTAAGCTATTATAAAGGACCAATGAGATTTGAATGGATATAAAGTCAGAAACAAAGGACAGGCTGTTATTATCATTATGTAGAGAAGTGACATTCAGCTGGTATTTGTTCCCAGTGTTATGGCATACTACAGGACACACAGTAAGTGCTTACTTAATGCACGTATGTTGCCTTTCAGTCACTAAGCTCAAATCTGCCTCTTCCTTGTTCTACTCTGAGCCAAAGGAGAACCACTCTAAATCCTCTTTCATGAGATAATCTTTCAGATACATGAAAACAATGATCACTCCCCTCTAAGTCTTCTTTCTCCCAGGCCAAACATCCTTGACTCCTTTAGCCTTTCCTTCTATGACATGAACTCAAAGCCCTTCAGTATCCTGATTGCCTTCCTCTGGTCCCTTTCCAGTGTTCTTCCTAAAGTGTATGTCCTAGAACCAAACACAATATTCCATTTGTAGTCTGACTAGGACAGAGGACTGCAGAAGTGTAAGCCCCCTAATCCTGGGCTGTGGGTCTTTCAATGAGCCCAATATTCACTTAGCTTTCTTGTGTACAAGAAATTTGTGTCTGTAGAGTTCCTTCTGGAGGGGCCGCCATCTTGGGAACATATTTAGTTCCAATGATCTGGTGTCTAACCATGCTTCCTCCTTGGGCTTATGATGTATATTTTTTTGAAGGGGAAAGGGGGAAAGGGAACAAGCATTTATTAAATGTCTAGTATATATCAGACACTTTTATAAATGTTATGTCATTTAATCCTTACAACAGCCCTGCAAAGTAGATGCTATTATTATTCCTATTTTACAGTTAAGGAAACTGAGGCAACCAGTGGTTAAGTGACTTACCAGGATCATACAGCTGGTATCTGATATCACATTTGAACTCAGGTCTTCCTGATTCCAGGCCCAGTGCTCTATCCACTGTGCCACCAGCTGCTTCTGATGCAAATGTTATGGCCTTCCATTGATCCCTGTTAAGTTGTATCTGATTCAATTTGGCTCAGTGTCCTAGCCTATTAAGATCTTTTCCATATTGTAGCATAGTGGACAGAGTGATGAGGGTAGATGACCTTGACTCCAATCCTGTCTATACCACTTACTAGCTGGGTGATTGTGAGCTAATCATTTACTCTCTCTGAGCCCTTATTTTCTCTTCTGTAGGAAGATAGGGAGGATTAAACGGCCCCTAAGGATCCTTCCAAGTCTAAATCTATGATCTTATCATCCAATGCAATAGCTTTCCTTCTATCTATTCCTTTATCAAAGTCAATTATAAAAATGTTATTACAGGGCCAAGCACAGATCCCAGAGGCACTCTATTGTAGACTTCCCTCCAAGTGGATGTAGAATCATTGGCTGTTCTTTGTTTCTGGCTATTTAGCCATTTCCCAATCCACCTAATTATATTATTGTTGAGCTCACACCTCTCCAATCTTTTGCATAAGAGCAATATAAGAGACTTTGTCAAATGCTACACTAATAAATCCTAATCCTGGTTGGATATATCTGTAATATTCTGCTGAACTACCAGTTTAACAGCTTTCTGCCTAGTAACTCTCCCTTCACTTACCCCACTCCCTTTCTCCCCACACACCCCCAGTTTTTCCCAGCCCAAAAAAAAGATTAGAAAATGTTCAGCTGATATTTCAATGTTTTATTAAAGAATCTTACAAAAGAGTATTTTTTCAGGGGAAGGGAGGCACACATTAACTGTTGACTCTGCACCCGGTCAGCTAATGCTGTGGCCAGTCTAATGGATGAATGGGGAAAGGGGTAGGGGGTGTAGCTCATCCAGCTTAGAGATACCCAGAAGGTCCCTCCCCAAATAAATAGTCAATGAGGCCAAGAGAGTTCTAGCCAATGGGACCAGATACAGTGAATGAAGGGCGATAAAGTCTATATATGAATCTGAAGAATGTCTACTATTAAAAAATAAATCTATGGGGAGCAGTTGGTGGAGCACAGGACTGTAGCTGGCTAATCAGCCAGAATCTAGGAGACCTTCAGAGACACCCTGCCTCCTATTCCCTTGGAAAGACAAGCAGGAAGGTCCAGGGAGGTTGAACTAACCCTGGATGATCTCTCCAGGGATGGGACAGGGGTGTAAACATTTGTTAGCCAGTGTGGTAAGGATTGGGAGGGTAGGGACATGACAGTGGGGAATCCAATGAGAAAGAGATCCTGACTTCCCCTGCCTCTTGGAGACGCCTCCAGGAGTGAGGTTCAGGAGGGTGGGGCAGGAAGACGGGCCATGGCCACTAGCCCAGGGCAAGACATGGGGCTCTGGTTGAAGGAGATAAAGGGGATCACACCTCCTACCACCTGAACTTAGTTCTCCAAAGATGCAGAGCTCATTCAGAGCAGAGGCAGGGAGCCAGACGGTGCCTAAGGTCCAGAGGCTGGCTTCCCCCAGGAGGCCGCTGTCCAAGCCGCCCTCCCTGTGGATTGCCAGCGTGGCCAGTGTCACCTCCGCACAGTTCTGTCCACCCCTCTCTCACTTGAAGCTCTGGGGCCCCCGTTCTTTGGCAATCTCATCCTCTCTACTCCCCATCCTTCTCCTTGTCGGTGCAGCTCTGCCGCCATGTCCTTAAACTCCTCCTTCCCTTTCTGGCAGGCTTGTTCTTTCTTCTCCAGGATGGTTAGCATATTTCAGCCTCAGCAGCAAAGAAGTTTGTGAGAGTATTGGTTCCTGAAAGAAATACAAGTATAACAGGCAAGTTAGAGACAGTAGAAAGGGGCAATAGAAACTGGGATGTAAAAAGAAAAGCATTAGTGAGAGAGGAGGATGGGGGGTACAATGGCCAGGAAAGAGGGTGATTTTTGGCTCTGCCTAGGGGCAGAGGTCACTAAGCAATTGTCCTACTAACTAGACACTAGACCACAAATGACTGACTTAAATAAGGCTGCAGGCCTAGACCTTTCAGACTAACCTCCACCCTAGTCCCTACCTACCCAGAAAGGGAAATTGTGGAGCCTTCAATTCCAAATATCAGATTGCAAGGGGAGGGGGGACTGACCCCTTCAGAACTGACCAGACTATCCCCAAGTGGCCAGACCACAGAACTCAGACCAAAGTTGCCCCATCCCTTGGACTCCAAGGGTTCATTTGCACCTCAATACACTACGCTCCATCATCCAGGTCTGGGTGTGGGGATTTAAAGATGGGAGAGTAGGGGGCTGCTTCTACAGTTAGAACTCTTTGCATAGGAGTGGACAGAGATGTCTTCAAGAGAGAAAAAACAATAGTTACCTTATAGGTGCTGGTGCTAAATCCCTGAGGACTTTGGAAATCAGGCACTGGAGCTTCCTTGATCCCCCTCAGCCTGCTGCCCATCACAAGGTGAATCATTGCTGCCTCTCTGTTCTGCTAGGCTAGAGTGAATCACTGTAGCAAGGGTGAGGGGAAAAAAACAACAATGCATGTGAGCAACAAGATAGAGACAGAGAAAAGAGACACTCTTCAAGCTCTGGGGTACACCTGCCCACCTTCCTTGGGCTTTCTCAGGGGACTGATGTTGGTATCAGGTACAATTCTGGTCAGCCTATCTCCCACCCAAACCACTAATCCCCCTTTCAAACGACCTCTCTTCTCCTCTCTATGGAGGAAATGGGAAACCACTGCCGGATATAAATCTCTAAGAGGATTCCCCCACACCAAAAGAGCCTTGAAGAGGGAGTCAGAAGAGCTGCATTAGACGACTAACTTGTTGGGTGACTTGCTGAGTTGTTCGGTTGCTTCATTTCTAAAATCCTCTCTAAGGTTTCCTCTCCCAGCCCTGACATTCTAGGATTCTGTGATTCCTTCCACAGGGGAGATTCTTACCTTTAGGTTGTAGGAGGGATCAGGATCTCCAGGCACCCATTGCTGCTGCCATCCCTGGAAAGGCTTTGTGTCTTCTCTGGGGAAGTCGAAGGAGGACACCAGCTGCCCCACTGAGGGGAGAATGGCTGTGGACACTTGCTTCTCACCACACAAAGAGCAAGAGGTTGGAAAACAGGTTTTCTTCTCCTTCTCTGTTTCTTCCCAGATGATCTTGGAGTCCTAGCTCTAAACAGCCAGCTGGCTCAATGCCAGCCCCCTTTATAATCTAGCTACTCTCCATGTCCCCTGTGGCTAGTGGCCAATGGGAGAAGGATAGGAATGATGTTAAGGAGAAAGAAGGCATATCAAGGCCAGTGGCTGGACTCTTGCTTAGTTCCATATGGGAGCAGGTAAAACTCTTTGTAAAACCACGGTGGTGGGGAGGAGTGAAGGGGAGTGGATGGACAAAATGAAGGCAAGGAACACACACACCAGACTGGCTAGAGTCAGGGAGGGAAAAAGGAAGGCTAAATTTCTGCCTTTAAGCAGCTGAGGAGGGGGAGAAGTTAACTGATGCTGGCATAGGTGATCCTGTGTGAAACTATGGAGGATTCAAGTAGGAGGGAGGGAGTATGGACAAGGTGGTGGGAAAACCCCTACTGCATGAGTCTTGTCTCCCAAAGTGTCCAAGTCCATCAAGTGCCAATCCCACTGGGGGACAAAGCTGACTGCCAACTCTTCCTTGGCAAGACAGCACAAGCTGCCCTTGGGAAATCAGGACATCTGGGAGAATCCTCAACCTAGTGATCCCAGAAGGGGACACCCAGAAGGGGTGGGGGTGTCCAGGGAGAGGGGGCTAACAAAGGCTGAGGGGTGGCCACCACCACCTCTACTCGGGCTGGGTCCCATCACTGGCAAGGGACTCAATAGCTGGGGTGAGTGATTCATCATTGTCCTCTGATTGGGTTTGCTGTTCAGTGGTATCTTCCCCCTGCTCTAGTCCTTCTTGGACCTCCTGACCTCTCTGGATCAGCTGCTCAAGCGTCTTGGGCAGTGGGTGTCGGAGGAAATGCTTGAGCTTAGGCTGAAGGGTGCCCACCACATACTGGATGATCTCTTCCTCATCAGCATCCACATACAGGGTCTGATAAAGGTCTCTCTTGCGCCACAGGAACTGATCCAGAGGCTCGCCTTGTTTCTGGGGCAGGTCGAGCTCTCGCTTGATAGCATCCCGGGTGAGAGTGCCCTCACTATACTGCAAGAATTCCTTCTTGAATTCCACCCAGTTCTTCACAGATCCCTGCTTGTATTCCCACCACTTCTTTGCTGGGCCATTCATGTGGTTCTGGATCTGGGACAGCCAGTACTCTTCAGTCCCTCCGACCTGCTTCAGATATTCTTCCAGGTGACTGAGGAACTCACGGGGATCCTCAAAAATCTGAGTGTCTACACCAGGACTCAGTGTCCCATCCTCAGTGGTTGAGCTCCAGGGTGGGTACTGCTGGATGTCCGAGGGCTCCTGGCTCAGGGTATCTCCTCCCCCAATCACCCCTGCCGGTGTTGGGGGGGTGATGGCATAGGGACTCACCGTGTAGTCATAGGGGTCAGTCTCCTGGCAGTAGCCCTCAGGGCCCCCCACGCCAACAGAGACAGTCTGACGGGTGGCATCCCCGCTCACTGGGTACTTGCCTCCCATGGACTCCAGCCGGTCGGCCCACTTCTCCAGCCGGTAGAAAACCTCCCGCCACACGTTCATCTCCCTCTTCACCCATCGCTCCAGGTGGGCAATGGTCTCCTGGCAGCGGGACAGGCAGGCCTTGATGGACTTCTTCCAGCGCTGGGAGTCACCGGAGGGGACATAGCCATCCAAATTATTTTCCAGCTTCCCCACTGACCTGTGCAAGCCTTTCAACTCCCTCTCCACCTGCTTGGACACCTCGGTTAGCAGATGCCGGTGAGTCTTCCTTACGTGCTCCAACATCTCTGCCCGGCACTTCCCGATCTGCAGAATCACGTTGGGCTTGGCCGCTGGCCCGCCCCGGGGACCGTGGTAGGTATGAAGGCCCCCACTGCTCATGTGCTCCAGCTCCATAGCTTGTGTCTGTAGAGAAACTGACAAGGCAAATTCCTCCCGGGCCCACAGTAGGGGTCCGAGTTCAGAGCAGTCCCTCTCTCCGGTAGCCTAGCTCCTCAGAAGGGGTTAATCCTCCGAGTGGCAAAGCAAACCCGCTTATCTTCTCGGCTCCTTGAAGAAATGCAGGAAAGAAGAGGAAAGAAAGGTGGTCTTCAGAGATCAGAGGATGCGCGCCAGTCTCGGGGCTCCACAGGTGATAGGGGCTGCTGGTAGCTTGCAGATCAGCTCTCGCTGCAGCTGCCGCTGCCGCTGCCGCTGCCGCCACTTGCCGCAGCTCCCAGGCTCTCCGCTAAAGCTGGTGAAGCTTCTAGCTGGGTAGCCTGCCTCCCTTGCCGCTGCCTCCTGGCTTTATACAGCCGGGCTCTCTGCACGTGGGCGTCCTGGCTCCTGGAACTCCGGCTCTCATTGGTGGCGGGCACCGAGGCCCTGCCAGGCTGCCCCCCCTCCCCAACTGCTGAGTGAAGCCCCTCCTCTTTCCCGGCGCCCACTCAAACACTCCCCCAGAGCCGGAGCTGGAGAGAGAAAGGAGAAGAAAAAAAAAAAAACTGCACACACACACACACACACACACACACACACAGTTCAGATGGATGGATGACTAATCCCCACCTTCCTTTTCAAAGTCCAGAGGGGAGGGGAGGAGGGAAGAGGGAAAAACCTCTTACTTATTCACCGAGCCAAAGGATTTACTCCGCCAACCCTATCATTGTGTTCCTCCCCCGCTGAACTCCTGGGGCTGAAGAAAGTTGGGGCCTGGGGGCCAGGGAACCACCCACACCTCTCCCCTCGGTCACCAACCCTTCCCAGAGCTGGGTCAGCCCTCCCAGACTTGCTACCTTGACTTCCAAGGAGTGCTTGTGGTTGGTGTGTGCAAGTGGTTTCTTAGGTAGTGGAAAGAACGCCGACTTGGGTTCCATTTTACTGCTGGTTCTGCCACTGACTGACTGTAGGACCTTTCCGGGACTCAGTTTCTCCCTCTATAAATCAAAGGGTTCGGCCCTAATTGAGTCATGAACAATTGTATTTGACACGGGAGACCAGAAGGTCACCAAATGAATTATGTGTTGAAGTGGAGGGTGGGGGAAGGCTGGGGAGAACCAAAGCAAAGAACTGACCTAAAACAAAGAAAGTAGAAGGGAGGAGAGGAAAGGAATAGGGTTTCTCTCTTCTCCTCTCACTCATATATGTATATATATGTGTGTGTGTGTGTGCACATATGTGTATATATGTACATGTATATATGCGCGCATATATGAACATGTGTATATATGTATACACGTATACTTATGTGTATAGTATGTTTTATGTATGTATATATACATACACACAAGCATATGTCTCTTTATTTCTATCTCAATCTCGGTCTGTCTCTGTCTCTCTCACTCTCTCTTTCCTCGTTTCCCCCACTTCCAGTGTAGAAGAGATCCTTGAACCTTGGGATCACTGTCTCCCAGCTAGTTTTGTGATCTTTGGAAAGTCACTTTAGAGTCCATGGCTCTTAATTTCAACATCTCTAATCAGTAGGTTGAATTTGATGTCTGAAATTCCCCTCTTGCCCTGACATTCTGGGACACAATAAGGATCCAGATTGTCTGGGGGTGAGAATGGGGGGAAGGAGGGAGGGGTGGTGAGAATGGAGAAGCAGCCTCTATGACCAGCCAAGGAATTCACAGCCAGGGCATAAGAAGTGTTTTGCCTCCTTTACAAGTCAGCACCAGGGACAGAGGACAGGTGGGCTATTATCTGATACTCAGGCACAAGGCAAGTAACTGGCCATCTTTCTATAACAATGAGACACACAACATATACTTCGCACCTTCCCAGCGCAAGCTGTCACTGGCCTGCCCCCAGCTCAAAGAATCAGAGAATCACAAAACTTAGAATGTCAGAGCTGGAAGGGATGAAAGACAGAACTGGGACCCATAGGACATAGAATGTTAGAGCAGAGGGGGAGCAAAGAGAGCATTTGATCAACTCCAGAAAATAACAATAATAAAAACAACAGCTAGCATTTGTATAAAAGTTTAAGGTTTACAAAGAGTGCATCTTCTTTGATCTTCACAACAGCCCTGGGAGAGGTAGGTGCTATTGTTATCCTCATTTTACAGATGAGGAAACCAAGGCAGAGCAGAAATGATTTGTTCAGGCTCACACAACTAGGTAGCGTCTGAAGCAGAATTTGACCTTGGGTATTCCTTACTCCAGAATCCATCACTCTAACCACTGTGCCATTGAGCTACCTCTGCAGAGAAGGAAAGTGACAATCAATATCACACAACAAATTAGTGGATGAGTCAGAACTAGAATTCAAACTCCTGGCTCTTAATTCAATTCAATATATATTTATCAAACACCCATTATGGGTCAGACTTTGTGCTTCTCACAGATTAGGGTACTGATTCAGCATCCTCATTGGTATGTGTACACTCTCTCTGAATGCATGTTCCCCCACAAACCATTAGCTTAGCAATTCTAGAGTAGGGGTTCTGAAGCTTGTTTATATCATGGACCCCTCTGGCAATCTGGTGAAGCCATGGACCCTTTCTCATAATCATGCTTTTAAATGCATAAAATAAAATACAAAGACTTATAGAGACAAAGAGGCAGCAACAGAGAGAAGCCTTTCCTACCAGTCCTCTCACTGCTCTTCCTTCCCTCCCAAATTAGCCAATGAGGCCCCCGGGATGCCTCCCTAATCCCCTGTTGGCAATCCCTGCATCCCTTGTATGTTAACATCTGAGGTTTCTAGGCTCCTGAGTTGAACACAAATGAACATACATACAGAAGCATCTGCCTGAACACACATGCAGAAAAAGTTTATCTCCAGTTCCCATTTCCTAAGCACTTTGAGGTTTACAATTCCAGCCACATCACATCTATGCAAATCTACTCAGTTATATGGAGATGGAGAGGAAGGGGTGGGTATATCACACTTTCCAGTCTTTGTGTTACCAAAAAGTGGCATGCAAATCTATGTAAATGGAATCCAACATACTAGTTGGTTAATTATTTATTTGTGCAAATGGCCCTAAGGGAGTCTGCTATTTCAAGAACCCCCAAAATGAATTTTTTGGGGTAAAGGAAGACAATTCTTTGTGGAAAAAAATCACCCTACTGCTTTTTCTCTTTTATGTAAGACCAGACTTTTGAGGGTTAGTTTTCATTTGAGAGACAGAATGTCCATACTGGAAGTAGATGAGATGATGGTTATGGAGTCAGCAAACCTGGATAGGAATTCTACCTTGAACATTAATTTCATGATCATGAGGAAGTCATAAGTTCTCCAAGTCTGTTTTATTTTCTGTGAAATGGGGATCATAACTTTTGCCCTACCTGCTTCATAGAGATATTGTGAGAGGAATGCTTGGCAAACCTTAAAGTGCTATATACACGTGAGGTCATATCATTATTAAGTGGGGTTTATTCAGATGAGAGCAATAATGCCACGTGACATGTGTACCCAAACCCAACTCTACCACTGATCTGCCAGGATGACCTTAAGCAAATCTCTGTACCTTCCCTGGCCTCACTTTCCTCATCTGTAAAATTAAGTGTTAGATTAGAGGTCCCTTCCAGCTTAAGGTCTATAGTATATGACCTTATATAGAATAATTTTACATATATATACATATGTGTATCTAATGGTAGCCATCTCTAGGGTGGGGTAGAGAGAAACAAAGAAATTTACATGATAATTTTATTAAACATTTAAAAGGGATAGCAAATTGTACATAATAGATTTGTAGTTTCATGTGCAATCATCTTTTTTATTATACTATATTATAGAAATGCTTGTTTTATTCCATAAATTAAAATTCTAAAAAGATATGACCTTATGTTTATTACATTAGATTTCCAATTTTGCATTTTAACTGGTTGTCCTCCATGCCTATAACTCTCTCTCCTTCTACATCTCCATCTTTTGGCTTCAAGTCTCAGCTCTAATTTTACTTTTTTTTTTTTTTTTTTGCTTTTTGGTGAGGGAATCAGGTTTAAGTTACTTGCCCAGGGTCACACAGCTAGTAAGTGTCAAATGTCTGAGGCCAGATTTGAACTCAGGTCCTCCTGACTCCAGGACTGGAGCTCTATCCACTTCACCACCTCACTGCCCCTCTAGTTTTACTTTTTTACAAGAAGTCTGTCCAGTCCTCCTTCCTCTTGATGCCTTCCTGTGTATGTCGTATATGTATCTAGTTATGGACATATCTCGCTAACAGATTTTGAGCTCCTTGAGGACAGGGAAAGTTTTCGCCTTTCTATTTTCAGGCCTTAGCACAATGTCTGGTATATAGTAGGCACTGAATAAATGCTTGATTCTTGAGGGAGGGAGCTCAATGATGGTGACACAGGCAAAGTAGCGGTTATTCTCTTCATACAGAAGTGGAGAGTGATGCCTGGAGAAAGGAAATTTTCACCCCAGGATCACCAAGGAGGTGAGTGGTAGATCCACAAACCAGAAGCTGGACTCCAGGTGTCCCCATTCTGAGTGTGGGGCTCTCTCCCCTGACACACCTCCCTCCCGTCGTGGCAGGTGACACAAGGAATCAGTGGCCATCTGGAACGGAGCTCCTGGATTTGTAGACACTGTTGGAGGTAGGGGACAGTGAAAGAAGCGGTTGCCCTAGCCCGGCCCTGCCCTAGCCCGGCCCTGCCCTATCCCATCCCTGCCTGGTTGGGAAGCTCAGCAGCCCTGGCTCAGGCCCCACTTTCAGAGGCTCTCTCTGGAGAAATGAAGCCAAGACTTTCTCCACCCAATTAAGTCCACCCTCTGGAGCTGGCATTGCCTCTCGCTGCTGCTACCGCAGCCTGCCTTGTTCCCTCATTCTGCCTGAATCAGCTGCTTCCGCGGCCGCCCCCACTCAGGCAGTTCCCGGGAACCGCACCATAAAAGGCCAAGAACTCCTGCGACGGAAGCATAGATTCCCTCCTGTGTCCCCTCCCATCCCTGCCCCGCCTTCAGTGACAGCCCCAGAGGAGACAGGGGAGGAGAAAGCGGGGAGGGAGCGGGGCTCACCTGGATCTGGATGGAGGCAGGTGAACCCCACCACCCCAGCCACCCACCGTGACCCAGCCTGTCCCAGTCAGAGGCCAGCAGGGGGAATTAAGACAGGGTGAGGGCTCCCTATAGTCCAAGGTGTTAATCCAAAGGAACAGACAGGGGTGTGAGCCTGGGGAGGTCAAGATTTCTGAGCCCTCCCCTTTCTCCCCTTGTTCTCATCTGTTCTCATGCGTCTGGGTGGTCAACGAAGCATAAACCTTGTTCCAGTAGAAGGACCCATAGTGGGAGAATGACCCTCCTCAATCTCTC